CACACACACACACACACACATACACACACCCCTCCCAGAGAAAGAGAGAGGATTGCTACTAAAGTGGAAAAAAGTTTGGTGTACAGCTCAATAATAAGATATGGCCCTAGATGTAACAGCTACAACTGTCACTAGCAGTGTATGTAACTGCCGCATGGACCGTGGATAGTATGTACACAGTACTTGCTAGTTTACATGGTGTCTATCTCTAGTCTTTACACATCCCTACATGTAGGGAAGGAGGTAAAGTGCCTCCCCCAAACCATTGCATGTTGGCCACTCAGAATAACAGATCAGTGGAATACAGAAGCTACTACCCATCTGGCTCAGCCTAGGAGCAAATTACTGAAAAAAGGGAAGAGGACATGATGAGTTACCTCTTCCCCTATCTTTGCTTTCTTGAACTAGTTTGCTGTACTGGATTAAAGTCCCAGATTGTCCAACATTTTATACATAGCCGCAAGGCATCTTACATCTATTCCTGTTTATTATATGGATACCAGTTGCCAATATATATGCAGGGATACTCTGTACTAGATATTTCCTGAGCAACCTGTGAGCTTTTCTGTAAGACTCTCTATTCTTGTAGGCACCACAAGCGAGATCCTGGCTCCACTGAAGTCACTGTAAGTTTTGCTAGTGTTACTGTATTTCACCATATGGCTCCTTTACAAAATCCCAGCATTTGGAAACAAATAGATCCCTGACAGTAACTCATTTGTAATCACACCCTGAATCAGAATCATACAGACTAGAAGGGACATGGCTGGTTATCTAGTCCAACTTCTTGCACAGATGCAAGAGTGTCTATTCCAAACTACCGCAGATAACTATCTGGCTGCTTCTGGAAAAATTAATGAAGGAAATCCTACAATTTCCTTAGGCAGGGTATTCCATTGTCCTATTGCTCTTAGGGCCTTGTTACACCTTACACTGTGAGCCATACAAGTGTTGATCGCTAGCTCAAACTTGGAGCAGACACTTCAGGTCAGCATGGGCCTGAAGGATGGAAAGGTAAGAATTTCTCCCCCCTCCCCTCTCACTCTGGCCTTCCCTTCTGCCCCTGCTCCATCCCTCACTGCACCTAGTTGTAGCTGCTTGGCTGTCTGTCCCAGGGAATCAGTCAAGGAAGGGTTAACTTGCCTGCCTAGCTATCAGCAGCTGATCTTCATGGAGCTGAGCTTGCCAAGAGAGGAGTAACAGAGCAGTCCCAGCTGGGCAGACAGGTTAATCCATTCCTGCCTGCTCCCCAGGGACAGACAGTGCAGGCAGCCACAAGTGGAGGGGTGGGCAGGGATCTGGGGTGCTGGAGAGGGCAGGTGCACCGGTGGGTCTTATCTGGGGCAGCAAGGGGGGGGGGGCAGGTAGGGTGTTTACACTAAGGTGTAGCCTAGAGTTGTTACACCTTAGTGCAACACAGGCTGTATATACACGAGCAGCAAGACTTCTCTGATGTGCTGGAATTCCTGCATGTCAGAACAGACTTGATTAATTAAGTCTACCGTCCCTGCGCTTAAATGGTGGCACTTGAACTAAAGCTTGTTGAATGAGCTTTAGTTCAAGTGCCGCCACTGCCATTTTTAAGTGCGGGGATGCTGATATACTAGACAGCAATGACACTTTAGAGCCACTGTAATTAAAACATCCCCCCCAGCACATGTAAAAATGCCCATAGATCAGCTATAGTCCTGCCCTGGACTAGCGTAACTTTAAGTTGCATAACAAATACTTAAAACCAATTTCAGGTGTTAATGTGCAGACAATCTGGGTGTTAAGAACTCCAGGAGTTTTTCCTGAGATCTGATCTAAATCTGTTTTGCTGCATTTTAAGTCTATTTCTACATCTCCTGTCCTCTGGGAGAGAGAAAACAAGCAAGAGAGAGCAATATTACCTGATCTTCTTTACAGATGCCTTTCATACATTTGAAAACTGCTCTCAGGACCCTTTCACCTCCTGTTTTACAAATTAAACATACCTAATTCCTTAAGTATTTCTTAATACAACTCACTTTCCCAACCCTTTGGACCTGCATCCTTTTTAAAATGTAGTGCTCAAGACTGGACATAGTACTTCAGATCAGGCTAAACAGCATTGACTACAGTGGCACTACCACTAGATGCAATTCTTTTGTTAATGCAACCCAAAATTGTGTTTATCTTTTTTGTGACAGCATCACATTACACTCATGTTACATTCTGATCCACCATGCTACAGATCCCTAGCAATGCTACTGCTAAGCCAGCATCTATATATGTGGTTTTTCTTCCCTATGTGTAGAACTTTGCTGAATTTCATATTGCTGTCTATAGCTCAATTCTTCATTTTAGCAAGATCCCTTTTAATTTTTATCCAACTTCTGAAAATGGTTAAAATTCCTTCCAGTTTTGTCTTGTCTGCAAAATTGACCAGCATACCCTTTACTTCTGTATCCAAGTCATGAACAAAAATGTTAAGCCCAAATACCCCCCTCTCTAACTCCACTTGAGGCATCCTGCCAGTCTGTCCTCTCTCACAGGACCTTTTACGCTCATACTGAT